GTTGTTGTTGTTAAGGTTAGTCACAGTTCTGAGTCAACATCTTTTGCTTTTTTGTTTTGGATGCATACCCAAAACTAGCTCATGCACCAAGGTCTTCTACAGATTATAATATGACTAGCTTCTGTCTGACTAATCAGTAGATCATTATTCTGTTCCTGATAATACAGAATTGATAGGTTGTGTTTCTCCATTGTCTTGGAGGGCAATCCATGGTGCTTGAGACCTTGTTGCCAAACTGCAGCTCTTTTGATCTCTCACCACTAATGGGTGTTGGCAGTCTGAATGGTCACAAGTTGTCTATTCTTGCTGTACTGTAATCTGTTTGTGTTATGCATATACAGTCAAGTTAATTTTTTTCCTGTTGGTACTATTTTATAGAATGAAACGGAGATAGAACTGGGAAGTTTGCTGAGACAAGACTACCAGGGATTGCATAATGAGTTATTGCTTCGTATAGGAGAACACTATCAACAGGTCTTCAATGGTTTGTCGATTCTAGCTTCATTTGCTTCTAACGATGACCCATATCAGGGACCAAAGGACATCACATCTCCTGAGCGAATGGTAAATAGCAGTACCATTGCGGTTTCTTCTATGTCCACTCAGTGGCTTGTTTTTATATTAAGGTATAGTTTATATTAAGGTATATAGGGACGTGGTGGCGCTGTGGGCTAAACCGCAGAAGCCTGTGCTGCAGGGTCAGAAGACCAAGCAGTCGTAAGATCGAATCCACGCAACTGAGTGAGCGCCCGTCGCTTGTCCCAGCTCCCGCCAACCTAGCGGTTCGAAAGCATGCAAATGCGAGTAGATTAATAGGGACCACCTCGATGGGAAGGTAACAGTGTTCCGTGTCTAAGTTGCACTGGCCACGTGACCATGGAAGATTGTCTTCGGACAAAACGCTGGCTCTATGGCTTGGAAACGGGGCTGAGCACCCCCCCCAGAGTCAAACACGACTGGACAAAAATTGTCAAGGGGAACCTTTACCTTTACCTTTTATAGTTTTATAAGTGGGAAGAAGAGGCGGACAGCTTGCTAGGAAATGTTTTTAGGGGATCTAAATAACATACATGTCTCCTAAAAGCATTTCCCAGCAAACTGTACATCTCCAGGCATAAATATCATGCAAGGCTGGCTTGATAGCTCAGTGGTTTAGGCATCTGGCTATTTAATTCCCCATGTTACTTCCCACATTACGAAGCATTTCCCAGCAAACTGTACATCTCCAGGCATAAATATCATGCAAGGCTGGCTAGATAGCTCAGTGGTTTAGGCATCTGGCTACAGAGCCAGAGTTCGGGAATTTAATTCCCCATGTTACTTCCCACATGACGTGTGTGTTTGTTCATTCATTCAGTTTGTATCCCACTCTCATTAGTGTCACGGCACTGTTACAATACATACAATTGAAAACAAAAAGCACACAATTATTATTAAATATAATACAAACAATCAGCAGAGTAAAAAGGTAGCTAGTTGTTGCTCTCTGCTATGAAAGTGACACTCCTCTGCAGTAGTGTGTTTTTTCTCTGTTCTGGGACTTATAGAATAACAAAGATTCCATGCAGCTCCTAATGCCAGTTTTGCAGCTCCTGCCTCCTACAAGATATTAGAGGAGAAGGAGTGGAGGAATCTCCATGATTCTCCTCTAAAACAAGGAGGAATTCCATTACTCATTTTAGAAAAACATTGGACATTTTAGTAAGGCAGGAGTTGCTTCCACTTTCACCAAGGGGATCTGATAAGGCACATGAACGATCCAAGGAGACAGAAAATGCCTCTGAGATCGTCAAAAGTTGCCTGTCCCCATTCTGGTACAAAATAAATTAGTTATGGGTACCTTCACTCAGGCCAAGCATGTTAACCTTCTTAATACAGAACTTCACTGGATCAATATAGCAATGTTTGAAAGCTTTTGTTGGACATGCCTTCCATGTTGAGCAATTCAAGATCTGACATTGCACGTACAATATTCTCTTCTTCATTGTTCAAATGAGACAGAAGCAGACGGAGGTATTTTCCTTGTATTGCTTTCCTGTATGAGAGGCTGAATATATTGTGACATCTGAAAGTATATTTTTAAAAATAGTTCAGTGTAGTCTCAATGTTATATTTTTTTAACAAATATTTTAGGCTGATTATCTGCAACCAAAATTTCTAGGCATTTTGGCCTTCTTCAATATGCAATTATTAAGCTCCAGTATTGGAATTGAAGATAAAAAGATGGTGAGTAAACCTCCTGCTGAAGATAGAGCTGATGCTGGTGCATCTGGAGCTTTTACTTCCTAGATTTTTTTTGTTTCTGTTTTCTTCTGAGAAAAGAGAAGTGGTACAAAAATGTTAGTTGAACCTAGTGAAATAAACTTTAAAGGATATGTGAATTGTGAGTGCTTGAGGGGAGCACTTCTTTTCTGAATGGTAAGATTATTTTCCAGTTAATCCTAAAGTCTTAGCATTAATCTAATTTTTCCTCCTGCATTTTAATTTGCCTTTGGCAATGTAGACCTCTTAATTATTCCTATACGCATTAATCTTTTCCACTGCCCAATAATTCCTAGCAGCTAAATTAACCATATTTCTCTTTATAAGAGCCTTGTGGTGCAGTGGTTAAACTGCTGTACTGCAGCCAATACTGTGTTCACAATCCAGGGTTCAATCCCAGGTAGACGGCTCGAGGTTGACTCAGCCTTCTATCCTTCTGAGGGCGGTAAAATGAGTACCAAGCTCACGGGGGTGTGTGTGTGTGTGTTGCAATCTGTATCCTGCACAATTAACATGTAAACCACCCAGAGAGTGTTTGAAGCGCTATGGGGCAGTATATAAGCAGCATGCTTTCCTTTGCTTTTTTGCTTTGTTCAACATAAAGTAGAAATGGAGGTGGGGTGGGGGACAGGTGTGGTTAGCTTTGCGGTGGACCTGAAAGAACAGATTAAAACTATGAAGAGGACCTGAGTCTTCCTTTATAATCCCTCCGTCCAGTCATTATTTGACAGAGGTATCAATCTGGGATAAAAAATTAAATTAACAGAGGTACCAGTCTGAAATTAAAGATGAAATTTTGTGGAGCCAGAAACAACTGAGGTCCTGACTGTTTCGGAAAAGTACTATCAGCACACATACATTCAGTGTATTACAGTACTTGATTGATATCCTATGCAATTCCTTTTTCTTGCCTGTAGGCCTTAAATAGTTTGATGACTTTAATGAAGCTTATGGGCCCCAAACATGTAAGTGCAGTGCGAGTGAAGATGATGACAACACTCAGAACGGGGCTGAGATATAAAGATGATTTTCCAGAGTTGTGCTGCAAGTAAGAAAGCTATATGTTGAAACAATAATATATGAAAGCAGTTCTATTCATTGTTGTGCTTTCTTGTGAATCTTTAAGGACCTAAGGATAAAAATTATAGATACTTGTAGTATAGACTGCTCATATATTTTAAAGTAGATCTATACTGCTCTGAGCAATATGTAGCAATGCTCTCTGAAAGGTATCTTCTTTTGTTGTTTTCGTCCTTATTTAGGTCCTGGGACTGCTTTGTACGATGTTTGGACCAAATTTATCTCGGCTCCCTTCTCAGTCATGTGATAGTAGCTCTGTTACCCCTCATACATATTCAGCCAAAAGAAACAGCAGCGGTCTTCAATTTTCTTATAGTTGAAAACAGGTAATGTAACCTAAAATATTTATTTATTTTAAATATTCATAGGCTGCCTTTTTGGAACAAAGTTCTTTCAAGGTGGCGAGAAACAATGTAAATGTTAAATTACAGCCTGAAAAGTGGGGAAAGAATGCAAAATATCTAGGAATGAGCAGTAGTTTAAAATGTGAGTCAGTGAGCACAAAGCAGTTTTTCTCAAACAAAAGCAGTAAACCAGCAAAGTATCCAAACAAACAAACCACGTCAGTTTAGGTACCCATTTGGAGACAGAGAAGTCTTTCTGGTAGTAAAGTGGGAGGACCAACATCATGACTTGGTTAGTCTTGATGCCCCTTACCCAATCAATGGGGCTCTGTATAGATTTGTTGTATTCAAATTCTATATTAGGGATAGATTATTTTTCTATCGAGGTATTTATCATAAACCTTTTTTGTATTATTTTAAATGAAAAGACAGAATAAATAAATGCTGGTGTGAAATGAGCCCCTTTTGCTGCTCCATTGGCAGGCAATGAATGACAGGCATTTTACACACACCTCTCTGACATCACCTCCTCGCATGAACCTCCCTAGATTTCCGCCTCTCTGAGGAATACCTTTCTCTCATTTCTGTCACCCACAGAAACACATATGGGGAGGACAGAAGAGAGGGGCTGGGTGGTACCTGCTCCCACGCTGTGGAGCTCCCTCTCAAGCCAGGCTACACTGGCACCCTCTCTGCGTGTGCTATCAAATGATCAATATGATAATGTGTGTGATGCTTTTTAATATTGTAATTTACTGTATTGTTGTCCACTTTCCTCTTTCAAATATGTGTCAGCCACCTTGAATCTCTGTATTGGAAAAAAGGCGAGATATCAGTAAAATGAATGAACATTTGCACAGTGCACTAGATAGCTCTTCTTTGGCACCACCTTTCTTTAATTTACTTTCTCCTCAGCATTTTGTTTTGTTTGATTATTGTTTTCTGCTGCCACAATTGCCTGCAGAAGCAGTATATCTCTCACATGTATGTTTGGCCCTAAACATACATGTGGAAAATATAAATAAAAATCTGTAGGGTTTTAGCAACGGTAATAGTATTTCTTAATTTCTGAATGGAAATGAGTTCCATCCATCACAGTCTGTCTTTGCTGTAGAACCAACTATAAGTGTCTCCAGCTTCCTCAGTAAGCTTCTTCAGTAAATCCTTAACTTTATCCTCCTGTTCATTTTTAAAACTTTCTTTATGTTTTATGTTTACATATGTATTTGTATTTGTAACAGAGTTTGTTTTGTTGGTTAGGGATGCTGTACAAGATTTTCTACATGAAATATATTTTCTTCCTGACCATCCTGAGTTAAAAGAAATTCAAATGCTTCTTCAGGATTATAGAAAGGTATTGGTTTCATAATATTTTTATAAAAGAATTATTGAAAGTGAAAATTGACACTTGGATACATCTGATATTGTCAGTTTGCTTGATTATGTAGTGACCATTTGTTTTGTCTCTCAAGTTACCCATAGAACTCAGTCAGTCACAACACTGCCTACCTTGCCTCACGAGGTTGTATGTATTAAAGGAGAAAATAAGTAAATTATAACGAGAGGGTTTTTTGTAATGGAATACAGAAATACAGGTTCATCATGATTTGATGACATGCTATAAATAGGATGCCTTCGGACCAAGATGTCTTAAAAACTATTTCTTCTCACATTTTTTTAGCAAAACCAGCCTACTGCTTGGTAAAAGACTTGGCACTGTGGTGTACAAGTTAAAAATGCATAAGTAAATACACTTAAAACCATAAAAATTCTTGTCACATATAATATTTTAAAAAATGACTGGCAGCAGGGATCTAGAATAACCAAGGTATAAAAAGTATAGCATGCTCAAAATTGAAAATTTCTGGCACATGCCTCATTTCCAGTGAGCGGGATTCCAAAGGGGAATGGCAGAAATATAAAAATGCCCTTTTTTGAGTGGTCACTTGATTGATTTGAAGTGATATAAATTGTTTTTATAAACAAAAGAGCTGACACACAGATACGCAATTTAATTCAGGATATTTGGCAATATATTTGGAATAGCGTCCATATATATAATTATCTGAAACTAAGAATGGCATAATTGTCTGGAAGCATTATTATGAATGCTCTTTCTGAGCCAGGTGTATACTATGTTAGATATGCTTAATTAAAATATATATATCTGCTTCCCTGTGACATAAATATAAATTTTTTATTTAAATATAAAAATTTCTCACCCTGTGTGTTAATTAAATAAACCTTGTTCTTTTATTTGTTAAAAATCCATTCCTGGTCTGTGTGACTCCTTATAGGGAATGGTTGGTGGCAGCTTAGTGAAACTGTGATGTATCCCAGTAGGTCTGGGGTTGTCACAAGACTTTCCTCACAGAGGTTGCTGATTGGTATGTTTTGTAAGTTAGTGAATTTGGTTAATGGAACACATTATATGTATATTTCCTTTTTTAGGAGACATCGAAGAGCACAGACTTACAGACAACACTGCAGCTCTCCATGAAGGCTATTCAACATGAGAATGTAGATGTTCGGATCCATGCTCTGACCAGTCTGAAGGAAACATTATATAAAAACCAAGTATGTAAAATTGAATCTCAGAATGTATGTGCCAAGTAGTTAAGTACAGTGCTGTACAGTACCTACTTTTCAATGAAGAAGTCTCATTGAACTCAGTCCAGCTTACTGTTGTGTAAATAAAAAAGTCACACAGTTTATGTAGCAGTTCTAATGTTTTCTAATGAAAATGAATATGAATAAAGATAAAGCTGCTGGTTTAAAATGAATACCTCTTTTACAAGTAATAACAAAAAACAGGTGAATTAATTACCTACTGCATTAACAAAACTACTTCTTGGTTTTAGAATGTAAGATAGTGAAACGTTTTTTCCTGAATAGAAATTAGCTGTGTGGTTTTTCTGTAGTCATTTTTTATCCTCACTTCTGACTTTATCAGGAAAAAAATGTTCCCTGTGTAGAAAGATAGTATTTCTATTTTACCAAAGGGTTTAGAGTACTCATTCAGTTATTCTTGTGGTTTGCTGTCTTATTTCTTCCTTTCTCTTGTCAGTGCTAGGGAAAGGTGATCCATACTAGATAAATTATGTGATATTCAGTTACCTGTCATGAAGTAAGCGAGCTTGTTGTTTCAGTGTCAGCCTGACATGAGAAGAGGGATTTGTATGTGGTGCATTCTTCTCCCTGTCTTTTAAAAGTATCTGTTTCTTAATTCCATCCTGATGTGCAGATGTGTGCTTACAGAGTAATTAATGGACAATAGACAGAATTCCCACACGCATCCTCTAATGTTCATCATTTTGTTCTGAGACTAAGCTCATGTCTGAATGGCTCATTACTGATTTGCCATGGATAGGAGAGAGCTGGTGTAATATATGAACCCGTCATGCTCTTGAGTCGTCCAGCCTGTAACATTCTACTCTGGATGACAGCTGGCCTGGGAGGTTTCAGGCAGAAGTCTTTCTTGGTTTTTCTAGTTGAGTTTATTTAGCTGGAAACTTGAAAATTTTATGCAGCTGCAGAGGCCTTCTCCCCATAACTGTCAACATGCACAACTATGAGGACTGACATGGGCTCAATATAAGGATCTTCCCTTCCTTCCACCCCCCCTTACTCCCATCCACCATAGGAACCAATGTTCCCCATAAATTTACTCCTAAGGGTCCCTTAGTCTCTATCTCTGTTCCTTTGTTAGAAGCCATTTGTTGGTGGAAGATGTTAATTGGATACCATACTTTGCATTTTGTTTCTCCTATTACCTTCTGCAGTGTCTTAGGATACAGATGTGGGCCTCCAGATGCTGTGTTAAACTCTTACTTTCCTCAGTCTTAGCTTAGAGGAATAGGGCTAGAATGGGACATTACAAACAATGGGTGTCATAGTCCAGCTTCTAAAAGCAACACACATTCCCTGCCCCCCATGTCTGTTTTTCATGTGGTGGCATGATGTTTTAGCGTCCTTTTGTACCATGCTGCTGGAATCAGTACAAGAGGCAACAAAATATTGTGGAGTGCCAGGAGAGGGGTGAATGTGATGCAGTACTTCTGGTGGCTATGAGGCAAGGCTGGGCCTACAACTCGGCAGTAAAGCACAAGCTTTATTTACATGAGACCTCAGCTTTATTCCTTAGCTTCTTTACTTAAAACCAACTGCTAGTGATGGCAAAGACTACGGTCAAAAATGGTGTAAAACTACTTCCTGTCAGTAAGAAGATTCAGTTGCACTAGATGGATAAATCTAAATAGGACAGCTTCCTATGCAGACTTCTGTGTGTAGGATAGAAATTGGCAAAGTGGAGTCTACAGGCTGCTTGTGGCCTGATGGCTATTTTTGTGGCTCTTGGGCCATCCCATGCCACATTTGAGTTGGGCAAATCTTGTCTTGTCCACAAAAAAACTGATTTGCCATGGATAGGAGAGAGCTGGTGTAATATATGAACCCGTCATGCTCTTGAGTCGTCCAACCTGTAACATTCTACTCTGGATGACAGCTGGCCTGGGAGGTTTCAGGCAGAAGTCTTTCTCGGTTTTTCTAGTTGAGTTTATTTAGCTGGAAACTTGAAAATTTTATGCAGCTGCAGAGGCCTTCTCCCCATAACTGTCAACATGCAAAACTATGAGGACTGACATGGGCTCAATATAAGGATCTTCCCTTCCTTCCCCCCCATACTCTCATCCACCATAGGAACCAATGTTCCCCATAAATTTACTCCTAAGGGTCCCTTAGTCTCTATCTCTGTTCCTTTGTTAGAAGCCATTTGTTGGTGGAAGATGTTAATTGGATACCATACTTTGCATTTTGTTTCTCCTATTACCTTCTGCAGTGTCTTAGGATACAGATGTGGGCCTCCAGATGCTGTGTTAAACTCTTACTTTCCTCAGTCTTAGCTTAGAGGAATAGGGCTAGAATGGGACATTACAAACAATGGGTGTCATAGTCCAGCTTCTAAAAGCAACACACATTCCCTGCCCCCCATGTCTGTTTTTCATGTGGTGGCATGATGTTTTAGCGTCCTTTTGTACCATGCTGCTGGAATCAGTACAAGAGGCAACAAAATATTGTGGAGTGCCAGGAGAGGGGTGAATGTGATGCAGTACTTCTGGTGGCTATGAGGCAAGGCTGGGCCTACAACTCGGCAGTAAAGCACAAGCTTTATTTACATGAGACCTCAGCTTTATTCCTTAGCTTCTTTACTTAAAACCAACTGCTGGTGATGGCAAAGACTGTGGTCAAAAATGGTGTAAAACTACTTCCTGTCATTAAGAAGATTCAGTTGCACTAGATGGATAAATCTAAATAGGACAGCTTCCTATGCAGACTTCTGTGTGTAGGATAGAAATTGGCAAAGTGGAGTCTACAGGCTGCTTGTGGCCTGATGGCTATTTTTGTGGCTCTTGGGCCATCCCATGCCACATTTGAGTTGGGCAAATCTTGTCTTGTCCACAAAAAAACTGGAATTGGATTTTTGGCCATCTCTGTTGTTGTTGGGGTTTTTTTCCAGAGTTTTCTGTGCCTGGTGCAAAATGAACCCCCGGGTTCACCGGAGTTGTCTACCTTGGTATAGTCTACCTGAACAAATGAGATGGAAAAAGTAACAGTGTCATCTCAGACTACAGATGGAGAAGAACCCACATTCTTAATGTTTCCTTGTATAACTTCCCAACAAGCAGAAAACAGCATCTAGGCTTTAAAAAAATCATCCTTATGTTGAGTTTTTTGTTCTTTAAAGTTCTGGGAGTCTCCTCCTCCTCCATCCCCTTTGCCAGTATGGGGAAACACTGACAAACAGCATTCCCCACTCTCCATCTTAACTGGTATACCAGTCTATAAAATTGCATCTTCTGCATGTTGGCCCTAATGAGGTATCCAATTTTATTTTATTTTATTATACTACCTTTTACGTGTGCCTGCACTATGTTCTGGTTGAGACATAAATAGTAAATCTATGCAATTTACTTGTTTCCTTTTCTTCTTCCCTTTCTTAGGAGAAGCTGATAAAATATGCAACAGATAGTGAAACAGTTGAGCCAGTTATTTCTAAGCTGGTGACTGTCCTTCTAATTGGATGTCAGGATGTGAATTTTCAGGCACGACTACTTTGTGGGGAATGCTTAGGTGAGCTCGGAGCTGTAGATCCTGGCAGGCTGGACTTCTCTACAAGTGACAACCAAGGGAAGGGGCTTACATTTGTGGTAAGGAATGGTAACAGAATTTCCCAAACACTGTGTCTGCACTTTTTGTGTTAAGATAATCAAATGATAAGATTGATATAGTATGGAATATAAACATGCACATGCAGCTTACTTCATTGCTTTTGTACGTTCTGAGGATTCACACAGCTGATGTCATTTTTCATAAAATCTGTTTGGATTTCAGTTTTGATACACTAGGTTTGTCACTGACAATTGAGTTTGAGCAGTCTCCTAACAAGCACCAATCTTGTTTGATTCTGAGACCAGCCTCGTTTTATCTATTAGTCACATTTATATCTTGCTTTTCCGCCAATGAATTCAAGTAAGCATGTATTGTTTCCTCCTCTCCACTTCATCGTCATAGCAGCAGCGTGAGGTAAATCATACTGAGAATGTGTGACTAGCCCAGGTTAACTGAATTTAATGGATAAGTAGGGATTGGCACCCCGTCTCCTGAGTCTCAGGCCAACATTCAGACCTCTACACAATGCTGCCTGGAAATAGCAAATGAAATAAGCTTGAGTCATCTTTTTGTTCCAGGACCTTTTTCGTTCATGTGGCTGTAATGTGGTGATATAATGAACGAAGTTCCTCACAGGCAGGCAAAGGGGCTTGTCTTCAGGCTACATCTCAGATCACAGGAGAGGAAAAGGAGAGACTACTACACTTTTTTCTTATCCTGTATTCTATTCCCCCCCCCTTAGTTTACATGTGATCAGTGGCAGCTTCTGTTGCTGATTATTGACCAAGTTTGGTAACAGCTGCATTGAAATAAGTTGTGAATTTCACTGCCCTTTGAGAATTCCAGCCTTTCCATTTGTTCATTCCATTTTCAGACTGTTTGTCTGAAGTGACAAGGCTGAGAATATTCACAAAACTATTTGAAAAAAATGTAATTTCTTTTTCCTTAGACAGGTGTGGAAGATCCAGCTTTTGCCTATGGATTATTCATGGAGTTGACAAGAGCGTTCCTTTCATATGCTGATAATGTCCGGGCCCAAGATTCTGCTTCATATGCTATTCAGGTAAAAATGGCCTGTTTGCTTCATTAACATTATTTATTAATTACCTTTATATTTTCATAAAGTACCACTTGATGCTCATACCCTAAATCATAAATAAACAATAAAGTTGACATTTCACATTACAAACCAGTTAAACAGGTACAAAAGAACAAAAACTTTTTAATTCCATACCCTCAACTCTAATGGTGAAGTTATTGTCCTGCTTATATGTTGACTTAATTGTACTGAATGACTTGCAGAATTTGAGTTCTACTACAAATCCTTGTAACATAAACAGGTAAGTATTTTGATTTGCTTTTATATTAATGGGTGTTCTGTTGAAATCCACACTGTGATTCTGGATAGACTCTGTCTGCAAGCACCTGGAGCCTCTTCAGCACAACATGGGCAAGCAGCTTCCCTACAAGGCTGAGAAGAGAAATGCCACAGTTGTTATTGTAGTCACACTTGTCTCCTTTGTTCTTATACAGTATGACGATGTTTACATCCTTTATTGCCTGTGGTACTCCACCTTCCCTCCAGCAAAGACAAAAGATTTCATACAGTTCAGAAGTGATTGTCTCTTTACAGCACTTCAACAGGGATGTTGTCCTTCCGGCAAGGGAATCCAAGGCCGCTTTTATTTCTGCTAAAGTTAGTTTACTGTCCAATTCTTCCAAGGCAGGCAGGTACTTGATGTTATTTAATGCCTCTTCGGTTACTACATTAGCTCTAGAATATAGCTTAGAGTAGTGCTGCGCCCAGTGTTCCATCTGCTGTGTTCAGTCCTGGATGATCATGCCTGTAGTAGACTTCAAAGGAGCAGATTTCTTCTGTATTGGACCTAAAGCCTGCTTGATAGTGTCGTACATTTCCTTGATGTTACCTGTGTTCGCTGCTATCTGTATCTGAGAGCAGAGCTGAAACCAGTAATTGTTAGAATATCTCCTGGCAGCCTGTTGTACTTGGCTACGAGCAAGTCGAAGAGCCTGTACTCAGTAGGACAGGCTTTGTATGCTGCTAGAGCTGTCCTCTTATCCTTGATGGCTGGCATTAATTCCTCCGAATGGTCTTTGAACTAGTCAGCCATCTTTTTGGTCTTCTTGTTCAAGCTGGTGTTATAAACAGCATTCTTGAAATGTTCCCATCGTTCAGGTGCCTTTGCACCAGCCAGCCCTGGAAGAGTTTCCTCAAGAGTTTGGGCAAATTCCTCCACTTTTCTCTGATCGCGAGTCTTGCTGAGATCCATACATGGTCTTCCATCTTTTTTCATGTGATACAAGCTCTTTATTTCCAGTTTTACTCTGCTACACACCAGGGAGTGATCAGTATCGCAATCAGCACCCTGATAATTGTGTGATTGTGATACTAGGAAGGCTAGAGCATCTAGTGAGGATCAAATCGAGCTGATGTCAATGCTTCGATCTTGGATGTCTCCAGGAAACTCTGTGTTGAAGCTTCGTATTAAAGAAAATATTGCTGACACAAAAACCATAGTAACAGCAAAACTCGAGCAAAGGAAACTCTGTGTTGAAGCTTCGTATTAAAGAAAGTATTGCTGACACAAAAAACATAGTAACAGCAAAACTCCAGCAAATGTTCATCTTCCCAATGCCAAAACAGCCTACACAAGCTTACATAATGACCCAGATCCTCTTACCTAGTTATGCTGCTGTAGCATAAACAGTGTGCCTTTGAGAGGCAAATAGCCTCAAGTTAAGAAGCTGCTGTAGACGTTATCAGTTGCATACTGATTGAGTTAATCTGCCTTCAAAAGTTTGGCCATTGGCATAGTTACACAAGAGGATTTAGGAGTTTTTACGTCAGAGTCACTAGCCGTAAATATGCATTGGCTATATATGTATGTATATCCAATGTATATTTATGTGTCATGCACTCAGAACAAAAATGGAGTAAACAGTTTCTGGATAAATATTTCAGGTAACGAGGTAGAAAGTAAGAAGTAGTCACTTTGATAATAAGATTATTCATGGGGGCAAAATTAAGATTAACCATTTAGGACTATAGCTCGGGGTCATGCACTTTCTCCTGATTGCATTATCCATTTCTTAATTGCCAATTATTTTTCCATGATTTCCAGTTTGGGCAAATTCTGATTTGCATCAGACTCAGTTTCTTTAGAGATAAACTACATTTTTGGATATTATCACTTTTCCAGCAGAGTATTACTATCGCAGTATGCAAGGGAGGGAGGGAGGGAATTGGCCTATGTGGGGAGAAGAGCAAACCTTCTGTAGCATGGCCCTGACAGTCAAACTATGTGTTTACTATATTTAAAGTGGTCTATGTCTAGTAGAGAGATTAGAAAACTTATTTTTATGACTACAAATCCTAGAATCTCCCAGCCTGTATGCTAGTAGGAGTTGTAGTTAAAAAGCTAATTTTCCAACCTTTAGTATAGCACCAGTAAAGTGATGGGCATCTTTTTCCCCTCATTTTCTATTTCGTACATATAATGTAATAATTAATTTGTGTTTTAAAAGACTAATGTCTTTGTGAAAATCCTTTTTTGCATAGGAGTTACTAGCCATCTATGGTTGTAAGGAGACAGCTGTTGATTCCCCAGGCTCCAAGCTTTGGAAAATGTTTCCTGATCATATTCAGGAAATATTGGAACCTCATTTAAATACACGGTATGTGAAAGTGAAAATAAGTTCAGTATTTCTAATTGCTGGATCAATTATTACATCCACATTTTCTTCTTTCTGCCATTGGATACATTTCTACCTACACTTAATTATTTTTATGTTAGACCATTTCTTTGGTTATCTTAATAGAAGTATAGAACAACCAACAGATCATTCAGAGATAAGCATGGCTGAATTCAGATCTGCTTTGATTTGGATTTCTGCATTGACCAAGGGGTTGAACTCTACGGCCTTATAAGCCCAACTCAATTAGTCTATGATTCTATGGTTTTTTAAAAAGAGCATTACAACTCTATGATCTTTTGTGTAAATTTACCCAAAATTAGGCATTCTGTGTAAAAAACATGTGCATTATCTAGTCTTAAATTATCCTTGTTATGAATGTGAAGTCCTTTTGACATGGATTCTACAAAATATGTACTTAATATTTGTCAGGTTTTTTTCTTTCTCTGTAGTAGAACAATAAAACAAAACTACAGTGAACAATACAGTGGCTTATACAGTTGAGCCTATAAAGTAAGTCTTTTATCCTTTGTTTTCTCTTGGAGTACTATATGTTAATAAATTTTGGAAATTGCATTTACAGATACAAGAGTTATCAGAAGGCGGCAAACTGGTCAAAGGTTAAGAAACCTATTTACTTAAGCAAATTGGGCAAAAACTTCACAGAATGGTCAGCAACCTGGGCCGGCTACCTTATTACCAAAGTAAGCGTGATGAGACCATCCCTCGGTTAAATGCATGTTGTAATGATTATTTCGTATGAAAATCTGTAGATAACTGATGCCTTTCAAAACATTCATACTTGAACATACAGTCATTCTTCCAGGTGCGACATGAACTTGCCAGTAAGGTTTTCAATTGCTGCAGTATTATGATGAAGAATGACTTCAAGGTGACAATCTATCTCATTCCCCACATCCTTGTCTATGTTCTTTTGGGCTGCAATCAAGAGGATCAGCAAGAGGTGAGGACCATTTTGCTTCTGTTCTCTCCAGAAACACTGGAAGTTTTATCTGTTTCTTTATTCAATTTCAGTCCTGCTTTTCTCCCAGAAAAAAATGGGATTATAAAATGGCTTATAAATATCAGATTACTTCAGAAGGTGTTATTAGCTGCATACCACTTTATGATCTGTAAATTCTTTTACAAATCATATGAAGGCTCAGATGAAGAAGGAATGAACATTGGTTTAAGGAATCCCAGTAATTTAAAATATGCACATTACTGGCATAATAGTTTTTACTTGAAGCAATAGTATTTGAGCAGGACTGTTAATTGTAGTTTATTCAAGAATTTTAATCCATAGCATTGCCATATATCAGAAGTGATGATGAGATATAACATCAACAATAACACAGTACTTTCCAGTGTTTCAGTGCCTCTACAACTTTGTGGACATCACTGGGAGATATTTCTGAGTAACAGTAACAGAATACACAAATAGTGTGTTGGAAAGTGACAGATGATGTTACCTATTAAAATTTCTGACAGTGGAATTCTCTTGACTAATGTGGACTTCCATGACTCAGGACTTGCCTTCCAGTTGGCATGAAACTCCCTATGATTCTACAAAATAGTGTGGTAATCTCTTTACATTAAACCTGCATTTCCGTCATGGAACTCTTGCATCAAGGAAGCATTTCACAGCAGTTTTCCTAGTGGTACAAAGTCCTGATGTCTCTTTTTAAAGCTTTGAAAATAACAGTAATAATTCTGAAGCCTTTTTTAAATCAAACAATACCTAGGTTTATGCAGAAATCATGGCTGTTCTGAAAAATGATGATACCTGTGCAAGACGATGTGAGGATAGTGCTTCAGACCTAAGTCATCTAAGCACACAGACTGTATTCTCCATGGTTGATCACCTAACACAGTGGACTAGGTATAAATTCCAGAAACTGAGTGCTGAGAAATCTGCTAGCAAGTCAAACAAGAACCATGGAGAGCTGCAAAGTTGGTGACTCTTTTTTCAGTAGTTTTTACATTGTTAATTTTGATGTGTGTATTTTTTTTTCTTAAAAGGCTAAAATAAACATCGTTTTACTTAGCCAACAGCCAGGAAAGACTATACCAGCTAATGAAGTCTTATACTGTACATGGAACGGTAGTTTTTGTACACTAATAGAAGCTCTTTTCTTAAGTGAATTTAAAGTCATCATGATAAAGTAACATTGACACTTAGTAGTATAGTTTCACAGATCTAAATTTCATGTAGCTTCTGGGATATTATGTAATGGCTGCCATTGTTCAAATATACATCAATTTCTTTTCCATTTTCTTTAATAAGGCACGTAACTGCTATTTTTCCTTTCAAGCCTACTTAATAGCACATGGAGACATTTTAGTCCATTGTTGTTGTTTAGTCATTAAGTCATGTCTGACTCTTCCTGACCCCATGGACCAGAGCACACCAGGCCCTCCTGTCTTCCACTGGCTCCCAGAGTTTCGTCAAATTTTAATCCATTACAGTGATGTAAATTTGTTGAATCCATATATATTTTATTTAGATGATATATGGAGACACCAAGTATGATGTAGTTCTAAAGATCTTCTTTAAAGGTGCAACATAAAATGCCAGCACATTAGAAGATTTCAGCAAATCAAAATGTTTTCTTCTGGTGCTGAAAAGAATGTGCTAGGTAAATCTTTATTGGAACAGAGGTTCATAAACGGGGTGCTAGAACAGAAGAGATCGTTTCTCTGATTTCCACAAGCAGGAGGGTAAACATAATGGCTAAAATCCATTAATGTCATGGGTAGGCCAGTTGGATCAGTGGAACTTATGGAGAAGTTGATTCACCAACAGATTCATGTGAAAGGAGGTTGTGGCTTCCGTTTCTATGTCCTTAAACTGTTTAACCACAGAATGCTTAGTATGTTTGCCTAGTTTATACCCTTCCAAAACTTTTGTTTTACAGCACCAAGTGAGGAATATAGAGAATACCAAAGTGTAGTCCACTTCCTTGATCTCATACCACAGGACACATTAGCTGCAGCTTCCTTCCGCTCCAAAGCCTACACCCGAGCAGTAATGCACTTTGAATCATTCATTGTGGAAAAGAAACAAAACATTCAAGAACATCTCGGATTTCTACAGGTTAATCTTTCAGTTTTAATGTAAGACAAGATTGAACTGTTTCACTGTAGCATTTGCTGTTTTAGGTTGCTATCAAAAGGCAGAACCCATAAGGGTACTTCTGCTAGAGAAAGCAGCTTACACAAGGGAAAGTGGGAGGCAAGTAGCTCACTTTTAATGTACCATAAAGACCTACCCTGAAAGTCAAGAAAGCCATCTGCAGCAGAGAGCAGAATAAAGTTCTGCCCCCAGTGCCACACTGGATTTAGCCCAGAGTGGCTAGTTTCATATTTTTTAAAATTTTATGTTAAGGTATGAAAAATAATTCCCAGTCCTAGTCATGTAATTGCTTAGATTACTCCGTAAGAATGTTTCTCTGCATCTAATGTCAACTGAGCTGTATCAGCAAAGTCAAGAAGCAGATACATGATAAGAGCAGAGGAAAAATGATTTAATCCTGGTATGTAATAAGTCCACTGAGAAAACAGTAGACATTTGTAAAGTGTTTTGAAATCCTTATTGATAAATAATTTAGTTAAAAAATAGAAAATGATATTGTCATTCTTCAGAGAAGAATGAAGTGGTTTTCTTAGAATAATTAGTGACCAAATTTCATTACCAATTTGTGTTTGTTAAGTGACACAACGTAAGCTGAAGTAACATGTTGACACCAGTTAACAAGGTACTGGGTGTGTTCCTGAGTAGGTACCAAATTGCTATTGAAGTTTACATCAATTAACTTACACAGGGATAACATGGCAATTAGATTTGGGGCAGCATTTTAAAATTTATTAAATAAAATACTGAATTTTCATGGAATGAGAAGATTTATCACTTAATATTGCCTAGGGAAAAGGCTGTAAAACATTAAAATAAGACTGCCTGACAAATATCCTATTAGGAGAAGGCCTTTCAGTGACAAATGATTTTCCCTTTTTGCACAAGAAATTGTATGCAGCAATGCATGAGCCAGATGGAGTGGAAGGAGTGAGTGCAATACGAAAAGCAGAGCCAACACTCAAAGAACAGATCCTTGAACATGAAAGCATTGGCTTATTGAGAGATGCCACTGCTTGCTATGACAGAGCTATTCAGCTAGAGCCTGAACAGGTAATGTTCAAACCAGATGTGTATTCTTCCTTAGTTTTTCTTTACAATCATACAGTCGAACAAATGAAATTCTGTCTTTGATGTGGTGTGCCTTGCAGATGACACAGCAGGCACATATGCTTTATATCTTCTGTAAACCCTGGAAATGCTTAGATACAAAGAAGAATTCCTGAATTAAAAATCAAAATCCTATTCTGCCCTTTTAGCAGAAGACACAGTGTGCGAGCATAAACTTTACTTGAGACAGTCAGGCAATCCTGGTGTGTTCTTGAAGGAAAGCCTGTCTGGGGACTGTCTGAGGACACAAAATCTAGATAGGAAAGAGACAGTCTTTCTTTTGCACACAAGAAAGGAAAGAAGCAAGAGCATCTCCTAATGGAAGTCTTTCCCAAGGTCTGGTATCTTTGTATCATTGGATAAGGCACGGGCAGGCTGCTGGTGTCTGGGGACATCAGAAGTTCAGCAGTAGTTGTGTGCCACCCATGGCTGATTCTGCCAGTGACAGATTGAGAAAGCCAATTTCGGTTGCAGAGGCTGATGGTGGTCAAGAAGCAGGGGCAAGATACTGAGATGACATACCTGCATCTTCTGTGTCTGCTGTTATCCATGTAGTGGAAAACTGTTTTGTTGCCAGTGCTGAGGTAAAAATTCAGTTGTGTATTTGGTTGGATTCTCTCCAAGGAATTGGAAAATTGATAGCATTTTTTCCTTCACCTCAGCAAAATGTTATGGGCCAAACCTGGTGCCACTGAGAAAGTAATGAACGGATGCTAGCCCATCAAAGCATAAAATAAATGGAGGACAGTGGTTATGTTTATAAGTCTCATTTTCAGATGTAATAAAGTTTTTAAAATGCATATTACTCTACACTCTGGAGGTAGGGGGTCTGTCAACTGATTTATTTCTATGTGGTGTGCACTGTTGACATGGTTTAAACTTATGCACGTTAAACTGTAGCAACTGTGTATTCTTCTTTCTACCAAATAGATACTGTACCTTGTATAATTCTGAAGACTATGAGCCTCTTGAAGCATAGCCTTGTTATTTCATTATTTAGCCAGAGAAAGACTGTATAGCAGGGATGCCTGGTGCAGGTCCGTGGCTTTGGCAGGACTGGGACGTGGAGAAAGATCTCCCAACCCAACCATATGCACACAACCCCACTCACGCATGGCCCGCCCACCTGCACGCATGGGTGCCCTGCCCCCTGCAAGTGCGCCTTACCCTCTGTGAATGCGCCCTGCACCATCCACACATGCGCACAGACGTGCCCCTCACCATGTGTGTGGTCACACCCCACTCCCCGCAAACACCCCCACCCCCACACACGGACCCTGCACCCCCAACCAGTCCACAGGTCAGAAAAGGTTGTGGACTACTGCTGTATAGTGTTAGTGGTTAGAGTATGGTATTAGGAGTTTATGGATTCACAATCATTTTCCTATTCAGCCATGAACCTTGGTGCATAACCATAGGCTAGAATAATGTGACCCATATTATGACTTTGCAGAGAATGACAAACTTGCATGCTGTTTTGACATCTTTGAGGAAAATGAAATACAAATATTGTTCTGATTTTCTTTTCTTTACTTCTAGATAATTCATTATCATGGTGTGATGAAGTCTATGTTAGGTCTTGGTCAGTTCTCTACTGTAGTCACTCAAGTGAATGGAGTACTTGCTAAGAGGTCAGATGATTCATTATTTTCCTTCTTTAAATAACAGAACTGGGAGCAGGGACAGGATCTCAGTGTGGCCAAGAGCCATTTTCAGATTAGCTAACAGCCTGAGGGCTGTATTACCAAGGTTGCAGATCTAAAGCACAAGAGGCATACAGAAAAGTCTAACTTGCATTTCTTTTTTTATCAAAACATTTAATGGAATAGTTATGTACTGTGCAATAGTTTTCCATTAATGGATTTAGCTGAATTCCATGCTGCACCCTCTAGTGGCGATCAAAAGAAAACATTTTTGAATTTTTTGGAGGAGTATAGGGTGACCTGGGGTACCGGAGGCACTTCTAACCATAGAAAAAATGGCTCCCACATATTAGAGGGATGTTTTGCACAATTTTTAAAAAATTCTTTAAAATTTTTTAAAAGGGGTGGGGCTCCAGAGCTGATAGAGGGCTGCAAAAACAACCTTCAGGTGGCATGAGGCCCACCCTTGTTTTATATATACTAATGTGGGTTTAGTGTAAGTAGCACTCTCAAATTTTGGTTTGTATATTTTGATGATATTTACCAATAGCTAATGCTAACCATATTCTAAAGCTGGTTGGCAAACCATGTTTGGAGCTTGGAAACATTGTGTTTTCACATTACACGAATCTTGTAAGTATACAAATCTTGTAATTTCACAGCACACTGCAGTCTTCTGCAGGATTCTAGGAGATATGAGAGTTCAAAAAGGAACTCTCTCAAACTCTGATTAAAAGGAAGCAATAAGTATAGTTTAACAGTCAGCCGCTATGTCTGGACCAGGTCATGGTGGAAAGGAAAGAGAAAGGAAAAGAAGAATCAATTCCCCATGTGAGGGGAGGGAGGAGCAGTATCTGAAGTAGGGATGGGATTTTTTTATTTTTCAGACTACAGATACCATAATTCTCCATTCTTGGAGGTCTGCCTGACACACAGACATGTAAAAGTGGCTCATCTAGGAGCAAGGCCTCAACTGGAAAGCTTTAAGCCTTAGTTTAGCCTAACTGCCAAAAGAAAGCTCCTAGAGAGCCCTGGGGCAGGAATAGGAAGCTTGGGCAGAGCTGGGCCTCTCTAAGACTTAAAACCTTCTAGTTTAGGCCTTTCTTCCAGATGAGCCACTTTTAGGTATGGCTGTCGGGTAGAACTCCCAGAGAGGAGAATTATAGGATTTGTAATCCAAGAAATTTAAAAAATCCTGTTCCTAGTCTGAAGTATGCATGGCGTTTTGCCAGCAGAGAAACCTCTTTGCTGATTCCCATGGAGAAAATACATCGTCGACCATATATCTAGAATTATTAACACATGAGCCTTTTCCTCATTAGCTGAAGAAAGGAAGGGGGAAAAGTACTGATTTCCTTTTCTGGAATATTTAAAATACAGGAGGCTAGTATGTTGCGAAGCTCTGCCTGCCTGTACTGTGGGAACATTGCCATTGGCTACAAAATAATTTGGCAGTTTGGAATCCAGGCAACTTCATGAAGTTGCATGCATCCTATGACTGAAAAAAGAACTCTTTAATTAGTAACAATCTGCTGCTGATAGTGACATCATGCGTTTTGTGCAGGCAGAACTGTGCCACAGGGTAGTAGCCAGAGTGTATGTAATTTCAGTGCTTCAAGAAAAGCTGGCTGTATTGGATTCTAAAATACACATATTAGAACTGTGCAAGTACTATGTATTCACAAAGGCTTTCATGGCCGGGATCGAATGGTTGTTGTGGGTTTTTCGGGCTCTTTCGCCGTGTTCTGAAGGTTGTTATTCCTAACGTTTTGCCAGTCTCTGTGGCCGGCATCTTCAGAGAACAACACTCTGTGCTCTGGTGATGCTGGCCACAGAAACTGACAATGTTAGGAAGAACAACCTTCAGAAGACGGCCAAAGAGCCCGAAAAACCCACAAAAACCATTCTGCAAGTACTGTCTGTTTCATGTTATTAATCTAAGTTTGCTTTCTTTCTTTAATAGACCTGAATGGACACCAGAATTAAACGCCTACAGAGTAGAGGCAGCCTGGAAGCTGACACAGTGGGATTCACTGGAAAGTTATTTAGCTGCAGGTTGCTATTGATCTAATTCTCTGATTTATTACAAAGGAAAAAAAACCTGGGGAAAAGGCTCTTGAATGAGGATACATAAATTTTTTAAAAAAGATTCAGTGCTAGAATTTTGGAAAAAATGCATGGGAGGGTTCACTTTTGATCTGTGCTTTATACTTTGCTGAATGCTGGTCTGGATGATTAGTGAGATTTTTACTGGTAGATATATTACATTACGAAGCCTCAAGTTCTCTTTGATTTCTGAAGATTATTGTTCAGACTTTTGTTCAGATTTTGACAGAAATGTTCAGAAATTATCTCTAACAAATAGAATAACAATATTGGAATAGTCTAATGCTGTAGTGAAAGTCTTATAAACCAATATTTAATTTAAACAAATATCAATCTGTAGCTTTAAAAATGTCCAAAATTGCTACATGATAATAAAATGAAGTTGTGCTCCATCCTTTTTTATCAGATGGGAAGTCTAATACTTGGAGTGTTCAGCTTGGAGAGTTGCTGCTGTCAGCCAAAAAGAAAGAAGCCGCTACCTTCTATGACACCTTGAAAGTTGTTCGAGCAGAACAGATAGTTCCCCTTTCAGCAGCAAGTTTTGAAAGGGGCTCATATCAGCGAGGATACGAATACATTATCAGGTGTCGCTTAGTTTCTCTCTGCATATTCAGCACATTCAGCATCTCAAGTTGTTGCATATTACTTTTTTGCATGTTTTTCCAACTAGTATAATATAAATTTAAATGAATATTTACCTTAAAAGAACAAGGAAAAGACTGTGTAGTCCCCAAAATTACACAGACGTGGGAGTGGGTGATAGCTTTATTTGTCCACTTTTATATGTATTCTGGGATTTTTCCTAATCTTCACATGTCAGGTTAGAGCCAATCAATAGATGCTTGTGCTATAAAAAAATCCTGTGGCAAAAATCGAAATTATTATTGTGGTCAAAATATGCACTTGACTAATAAACCTAGCTGAGTCAATTTTTTAAAAATGTTATTAAATCTGAACTGCAATAATTTCCTTGATCTGCACAACTGTTATTGGATGCTTGCACTTTAAAGTGGTTTCTGAGAGAAGTGTATCTTGAGATTCTTGATGGACTTGACATTGGTTATTAGAAAACTTCCCAGCATTGCAGCCTGGGAATGAGAAGGAATTAGGTGCCATGTGTTCCTTATAGCATCATATGATGATGATGACAACATTACATTTACCGTATTTTTCGCTCCATAAGACGCACCTCTCCATAAGACGCACCAAATTTTTAGGAGAAGAAAACAGGAAAAAATAATCTGTTTTCTTCTCCTAAAAATTGGTGAGCCTTATGGAGAGGTCCATCTTATGGAACACACCCTAGGACCCTTTGGAGGCTCAGCCAGCCCCCCCGGAGGCCAGAGGGGGCGAAATCACCACCTTCTGGGACTCTTCTGAAGCTTCCCAAGCCTCAAGAGTCCCAGAAGGTGGCGATTTCACCCCC